AATACATATGACTGAGGCTGCTTTGAAACTCTTTTCACTCTTTAAATTTGTTCAAATTCAAAATGAAAATTAATGTAATCTGGGAATTTTCTTACCATCAAAACTGGACACGACAGATGTCACATGACCATAACCGTTGTCATGCATGTTCAGAGTCCACTGTGGCCCAAGTTGAGACAGATCTCTTGTTTCATCCAGCTGTTGAACTCTTATCTGGCCATTGGCCATTCCAAACACAACCAACTGGCCAGAGTTGCTAATGTAATGAAATTTTAATTAATTGGTTTTTTTATTTACAAAAGGTAAATTTACTTCTATAGATATAATTTAATTTAGTCAACTTAACACAAATTTAAAAAAAAAAACAAAAAACAACAAAAAATATACATATTTTTATAGAAATGAAATATTTCTCTAAATAAGCAAGAATAAAATTAGACACAGTTGAGTATAAACCACATTTATTATATAGTAGCTGAGAGCAAATGAAGAAGTATATTCGAGGCCCTAATGCAACGGCTCTGTGTTGAAGACAAACTATTTGTAACCGGGATTTTAAGCCAAGCGTTAAGGCGTTAAAGCCATTCACAAGCACATGATTGCAACTGATAATCTCATTTTTTTTGTTCCAAGAGTTGTATAAAAATATTTTTTTATTACTAAAAAAAAATACACTTTTATTATAATTCACATTTATACCTTCCAACCAGTCATCTATATCTACCTTGCCCTAACAGACCGCATGGCTCATACAGCAAGGTAAAAAGCTCTGGCAATAGAATATTTGATTGCAAAGGAAGAGTTACCTGAACTGAACCACCTGTATGGGGACATCACTTGACTCAAGCACGGCTACAGCTCTGATTGGCTTATCAATATTGTCCGGCATCATCAGGGCTTGTTCCTCAGGTGAGGTGAACTTACACTCGTACAGGTAACCAGCATCAAAGTCTCCCTGCGGATGACATGCATTATGTGATGGTTTAGTTTGATGAAATGACACCAACTGTCATGAATGTTGATTTGTTGTGATGCATGCTGGGTAGATTGTATGGATGTGGTGGGTTGTAATGGCATCATTATGCGGTGGCCAGTAGGAAGCAAAATGGAAATACAATGTTTCATCGAATTTGAAACACCAAGGAATAATTCTGAGAGGTTTGATTAAAAAAAAACAAAAAACCAATAGACATTTCTGAATGATAAAAAAAAAAAAGCAGTGGACATTTCTGAGTGGCTCAAAAAGAAATACCAATTGGACACGTCTGAAGGGTTAAAATAGAATCGCTGAAAGAGTATTCTGAATGGTTCACTTTCAAATACTCAAATACATTTCTGGTGGGTCCAAATGAATCTGTAAATTTTAATAAAACCTCACAAGACAAGATGGACATTAAATTGTATACTCAGATTGTTCTAGAATAATCTAGAATGACATAAACTTAAATACTGTTTAGGAAATATGAACATATTAAATAGATCCTACAGTGCCGTACTAGTTACAAATTCTATAGAGATTCTAGAACACCATGAAAATGAAAGGGGGGGGGGGAAGGGGAGGAACACACAGAAAACAGGTCGACTACTAAAAAATAAAAAAAAAAAAAAAAAAAATTAAACATAAAAAATAACATATTAAATAGATCCTACAGTGCCGTACTAGTTACAAATTCTATAGAGATTCTAGAACACCATGAAAATGAAAGGGGGGGGGGGGAGGGGAGGTACACCCTGAACACAGGTCGACTACTAAAAAATTAAAAAAAAACAACAAACTATTTAAGTTACAAGAGTCAAATTTTCACTGAAGCTAGAGGAATGGTCATTCTACCATAATACCACATAAAATAACCATTAGTAGTGCAACATAAATAGTTTTCTAACATTGAAAAAAAAAAGAAAAATGGGATGCTGGAAACTGGCATGACAAAAAAAAATTAGAATGTTTTAAGCTCAAATTTATTACAATTTTTTAACCATACAGAAATATGGATTAGCTTTGGCAATAACAAGGAAAAATGTAATTTATTGAATACTTTTTGTATCACAGCATTCCAAAGTTTCTTAATTTTGACATTTTAAAATCAAACTTGATGAATTGTAAAATGTGTACTTATTAATATATTACAATATCCTTAGTTGCTGACATAGACAAGTAAATAATATAGCATCTTGCACAATTTTAAACAAGTTGGTTGATATTTTAAAAAGTTATAATTTTTTATATGAATTAAATGTCGAAATTTTGTGAATGAACGCGCAATAATTTTGTTCATTAAGTAAATAAATTTTATAATTTTAATGACCCCCATAAAAGATAAAGATGTAATTAAGCTTCAACTTTTGACTCTTCTAACCCAAATTTAAGCCTTCTTCTGGTTCTTCTAAGGACTTATTCATTTGTTTTTGTGCCTTCGATATCCGCTTAGCACCCATCATAATGAAATAATTGAAAGTAAACTGTCCAAAGGTAAGCTGGAAAATCTTAGAGGAGCCTCCAATACTTTGGATCCATCATTGAAAAGAAGGGTTGCAAAGTCAACACCAATGTGGACAGCTCTTAAACCATGATATTTGTTCTTAGGGCACATTTTCAATATAATATTATTCATCGATTCGTTCGCATTTTGGATATAAATATCTAAAATTTTACTAAAAAATAATTGGATGGTAAAGGCAAAGGTGTAAAAAAATTGGCCTAATTAAATTAATTTCTGCTGATTCCCTGTTATAAACATTAAAAATTAATGAAATGATGAGATATATTAATTTTCACTTTAATCTAAATGAGAACCATTTACTCCATATATGTCTATAAATTTAATTTCTGACTTGTTCTGGGTGTGCGTGGCATTTCGTGTTATCAAGACCACTAAATTTTAATTTTAGTCAAGAAAGTCAAGTATTAATAATAGTCATATTCAACGATTCAATGGAATCAGATTGTATTGATTAATTTATTACATTTAAAATATCCGCATTGGTTCCAATATAAGGCTTAGCATATCTATTTTCATGAAACGCTCGTTTCTTTGAATATTTGTTATCACTAGGCATTGCATAAACAAATTATAAAAAAAATATTAAAACACATTTTAATATTCACAAAAATGTTTTGCTTATTTCCATGGAAGCCGCCAAATTTAATGGACTGATCATTGTATTAAACAATTATTGGGGAGGTCATCCTTGTTTTAATACAATTGAGATAGAAAAAGTATAAGGATATTTTTTTTTTTTTTTGTTTGTAAATTTTGATACACCCCATTCTAACAAAAAAAAAATATATCTCAAGAACTATTTAACTTAAATTAAAAATAATTACATATAATTGTGCAGAATTGAATACACTTTAATTTGATATCAATGGCTGCTGTTAAATCGAAAAAACGTTTTTTTTTCTCCATTTTTCACGGTGTAACCCAAACACCCCCCCCCCTTTTTTTTTTTTTTTTTTTTTTTTTTTTTTTCTATACCCCCCCCCCCTTTTTTTTTTTTTTTTTTTTTTTTTGAAGGATAGAAAGGGAGAGAATTTCAAGTAAATTTTCAAAATTCATATAACATATATTGCAGTGGAAGTAAACATTCGAGAGTGAACTTTTTAATAATAATGTTTAAAAAACGATGCAAACAGGATAATAATGTATTAATTAAGAAATGAACACCATAATCTCAAAAGCAGCAGCAACTATGTCCTAATTGTATAAAACGGATATGGAATATTCTAAACCAGCTGAAAGTACAAAAAACAAAGCGTCTATCTGGCATGTGTGCTCAGAACGCTCCTTTATGGGCAGTGAAGTGTGGATCACATGCGTGTCATGAGCGGAAACTCAACAGCTTCCACTAAAGATGTCTGCGTCGTATTCTGTGCATTGGGTAGGAAAAAATGCCTAACACGGTGGTTTTGGATCGTGTCAAAATGCGCGGCATATTACCCAATAGTAGAAAGAGGAGCCGCTGCTGGTTAGGATGGCCGTATTTCGAAGAGCCAGCTGTAGGGAGAATCGTCAAAGTTGACAAGACTTACTGGACGGTCACAAGGTGCACTACAAGGATGCTTAAGGAAAGCCAACGTTGAGTTTGACGAATGGGAGATCATCGCCGATAACCGCTCCTGCTGGCGAACAGCGGCGATGGCATTAAACAGGCAGAAGATGCGCACAGCGAAGCCCTTGAGAAAAAAAAAAGAGCTCGACGGACGGTCAGCATGAACCAGAGGTCAGGGTTCTCTTGCGAGAGTGGAGCCCAGACTGCCATTCCAGGATGGGCCTCACGCACAATTCGAAGAAGCGTAAATAAACTTCTCCATCGTCTCCAGGATGCCAACAACAAAAGACTGAGCATTAGATGTTGTAATGTTTGCTGGATGAAAATCTTTTACATTCCGGCGTAGTTATCATGTTTTAAAATGATTTATGAACTGAAACATCTAGGATTTTTTATAGAAGAAAAGTTGTCTGCCCAGTTTGAACTGTCTAAAAAAAATGTGGGAATCGTGGGGATGTCATCAAGGAACCTGAAACAGACAGACAACGCTCAAGCCAATAGGAAGTAAGGACATTAAGAAAACGTGCAAACGCTATTTATTTTTGACCAATCACAGAGTCATCTGTCCTTTACACCATAACCATAAACTGAGTGCGTCGAGATTACACAAGGTCGACTGAAATTATTTTACCCCCAAAAATGAAATTGAAATAATTATGTTGATTCCAATCATCGTTGATAGAGAGATGTTGATATATGAAGAAAATTGTGCATTGGTTGAATAATCCTCTTATATACTATCAAATTCACTTAGATCACGTGTAATCTTAATTGCGCATTTACAGTTGTACTGAATAAAAGACTAAACTAGGAAGTTCACGGCCAATATAGAGGATTTGTCAAGTCATGGTCCTAAAGATAAAGACATTCAACAAAAACCCAAACAAAACAACTATCAGAGTTTGCAGACCTCTTGACAACTATAAAACATGGACGGACTGATACTATCCACCACACTCGAGACACTGGGACACACCGTACTGCCGGTCAGATCTCTCAGACAACACAACTGCTTTCAATAACTACGTAGACGCCATGTTTCTTGTCACCATTGCTATTGCTTTACTGCCGTTCGTTGTGTGCGAGACGGACCCCACTAAGGTCTGCCTGCCAGACACGATACAGTTTAATGTTTTAAACTTGGCCACAGAGGTGAGTTCTTCCTGTAAACGTCCATAGTAACGCGTCCATAGTAGCGCGTCCATAGTAACACGTCCATAGCAACACGCCAATAGTATCACGCCAATGATAACTATTCCAGTACAGAATACCAAAGAATAATATATGAGGGACTGCGTAACTGCGCTCAAGCAATGTGAAGTGAATAATAGTTGAACACGATATTTTATTATGCTTGAAAATAAAAGACACGACAAATAAGCGAGCGTTTAGGCTGGTTGCCATCTTCAGCAGACGATGCAATACAATAAACAACATATAAAATGAAAAAAAAATATAAAGAAATAAAACAGATCTCAATGATAAAGCAGAACTAGATAGCAACCATTTACAAAGAAAAAAAAAATAACAATTCGTGTCACGATGATTTCCAAAAAGATTAAAGATATAGACCAGTGGTTCTTAACATTTTTGGAGGTACCGAACCCCACCGGTTTCATATGCGCATTCACCGAACCCTTCGTAATAGGAAAAATAAAATATGATTTTTTTTTTTCTGATTTTTTTTTTGGACCTCCGCCAAACCCCTGAGACTGACTCACCGAACCCCTGGGGTTCGATCGAACCTAGGTTAAGAACCACTGATATAGACATATGTGAACGAGAGTTTATTAAAATCGTGCCAATCAACCTTAATGGTGTCTCAACAACACGTTAGCCAAACCGTGATTTAAATATATATATATAAATTAACATAATTTTTATATTTGAAACTTGCACATTTGGAAACTTATTAATTTAATTTAGCAAGACATCTGCTAAACAATAGTCTTAAGGGTCTTTGGTAGAGAAAAGTTGATAATGATAAAATAAAAGTCTTTAAAAAAGTAAAGAGAGGAATTCATAATTCATCTTTTGATTTTATCGTCAGACCATTTTTACTAATATTATTTTTGACTTAAACGTTTATAAAACAAGAATATTACCCACATACTACTGATTCACGATCTCATACTGCTAAAAAAACTTCCCACATACTACTCACATATTTCTCACAAACTGTCCACATACCATTCCCAAAATGCTCTCATACGGATCAAAGACGGCTCATGTATGACTCACATACTGTTAACATATTTCTCAAATACGGTTCAAATAAGGCTCATATACGACTCACACGCTGCTCACATAACACAAACACTCCTCACAAACTGCTCACTTGCGGATCAAATACTGCTCACATACGTCTAAAATACAACTAACATACTGCACGCATATTTCTCATAAACTGCTCATATAATCTAATCCCATTTCCCATTTCCTACTCAGTAACTACTCATTAGCTACGTAAATTCCACTGACAAAATTATTTGCACAAACAAATCTGAATGTTTAGGGTTTTGTCGCATGTCAAGTTGTTTTTTTGTGTGGACACATTCACTCCACATAATTTTTTGTTTGCCATGTATACAACAGCCATCTGATGCTATATTTACAGTCTTTTTGTTGACAGTTTCTATGAGTACCATCTATACAACAGCCATCTGATGCTATATTTACAGTCTTTTTGTTGACAGTTTCTATGAGTACCATCTATACAACAGCCATCTGATGCTATATTTACAGTCTTTTTGTTGACAGTTTCTATGAGTACCATCTATACAACAGCCATCTGATGCTATATTTACAGTCTTTTTGTTGACAGTTTCTATGAGTACCATCTATACAACAGCCATCTGATGCTATATTTACAGTCTTTTTGTTGACAGTTTCTATGTGATTATAACGCATGACTAACGCTCTCTTTTCCCAGGAGATTGGAGTATGGGCAATAGACTTCAACAAACAATTGTATGGTCAGATCTTCCCCAACCAGTCGTTCGTGCATGATCTAAAAGCCGTAAGTGGGATACTTAAGTCATAACTGAAACGGTTAAGTCATGACTGAACCGATCGTTGGGTCAGCGAAGCGATGGAGAGGTGTCTATACCTCTCGCCCCTAGATGGTTTCGAAATCCCCCGGGGTTGTTCTCAGCTAGATATTGTGTGAAATGAGATTAAGATTCTTTCATATCAGCGATGTATTAATGTTGTTACATTTTTTATAAGAAAAATCGGATAGTATGATTTTAGAGTTCAAAGGCGTGGAAAATTGGAGGGAAGGGGATGTGGTACATTAAAAAAAAAGATTTTATTTACCTGAGCGATGTCGCTCCCATCATTGTAATATCTAAAAACCCGAAAACAATACAGACTTGAATATTTGTAATAATTATGTGAACTTTGTATTTTAACATTTTCTGTTTTTAAATTTCAAGAGCAAATATTTTTGTTAAAGACCATTTAGAATCGAATGCTGATTCAAAGTTTGAGTTAAATATATCGAGCGTAACCATATTTCTTTCGTTCTACTTTTTAAAAAAAATGAGTAATACCATTACAATTAAGTAATTTAAAAAAAAAATAATTTATATAGTGTTATTTGTGTGTACACATTTTTCTCCGGGGGTCACTTAATTTTTCCCCGGGGGCACTGGCAGAAACAGTGCCGGAGTATGAAGGGTGGGTGGAAAGGTGGGCACCCCAGGCGCCACTTTTTTCTATATGTTGACAGAGGAATTTTAGGCCAACTGTAGAGTCATTTGTGGGTTGGTTGGGCAGCAAAACTATTGGCCCACCCCGGCGGTACTAACTCCAGCTACGCTTCTAAGAGTGTAACGTTTTCAATCCCATTAACACGTTATTTTTTCGAGAGAAAGGAAGATTAAAAGTAAATCAATTGGCAGTGCATTTCTTTTTAAAAAAAAATGATTACTTTCCTTAATATGAATAGACCCAGAAAAATGGAGGGGAAAAAATGAGGCGTTCATGTGCAATGACATTGTTTGAATTTAATATACAGCTTTGGGGCAAGAAACTAGACCGTAGGGATCACAATGATTATTTGCCTTTTATTTGATTTCAGAGGACAAAAAAAAAGTTAAAAAAAATTATTGATGCAGAAAATAAATCAATGGAACTAAAATTTGAAGCTGTGCATTCTGTAAACAAATTTCTTCCAGCCAATGCTCACCGATAGTGTTGCGACTCAGCCACGCACGTAAATTCTTAGAGACAATGCTCACCGATAGTGTTGCGACTCAGCCACGCACGTAAATTCTTCCAGCCAATGCTCACCGATAGTGTTGCGACTCAGCCACGCACGTAAATTCTAACAGACTGTTGACATACATTTACTTGGCTGTTCAAATGAACATTTGTATTTCTCACCAACAGGCAAAGGCTTACAACACGGACGCCAGCGGGAATTGTCGATCTTCGATTCTTCCCCCAGAAGGAGTCCATCCGCAGTGTTTCCGATGTAAGCAATTTAGTAGGTTACTAGGGCTTAAACCGGGAGGGGGGGTGGAGTTTTTTTTTACACCGGGTCCGAGTAGTTTGTGAGAAAACTCAGAGGATTCAACTGGTAACAAAAACAAAAGAGTTAAGTTGTCATTTTCTGTATTCTATAACATACAACGAAATCGACCGCCCTAGGTCTTAGTGAGAGTACATTGCCTTCATCAACTGTTTGTGTCCCGAAATAACCCACTGCTATGAACAGGCGGCTGCCGGATCCCGGGAGAGAGATGACGTTTAAAAGAAAACAGTCGACAAAGAAGATACAGTCGTTCATGTCATAACAAAGACTTTCCAAATAAAAAAATCAACCTATATTCACCGGAGATCAGACGTTACTCACAAAGTTCGCTGTGTGACCGAGGAACACGAATAATAACACCGAATAATAGTCGCGCCCCCCCCCCTTCCCATCTAAAGAAAAAATCCCACATATTTACCGGAAATCAGCGGTCACGCATGAAGCGGAGCCTTCCCCCCCCCCCCCTTTTTTTTCAGTACTATTAATATAAAACATGTGGAGTTGTGGGAGGGGGTGGTGGTGGTGGTTTTAGAGGAAGCAGGACACACCAGAAGCAAAATTTATATAAGAGATTTAGCTGTTTTATATCCTACGATTGGCTAGTTCAGGTGACCTGTTATGATGAACATTTATGGTAAATATTGATCTTTTCTTTTTTTTTTTTTTAAAGTTCAAAACTCATTTTAATTCCAATTTTATCAGTGGCCGTTCATTATTTTTCGTAAGTAGTTCAGTATCAAAAGTGTTTCCTTTTTTCCCCGGACAAAGTGTATTTTTATTATAATCTCCTCAGTGTTTTTTGTTATCATGAAATCTTGAAGCAACTTAAGCCACAGAATATCAAATATGTTCATTGCAGATGCACGCTAAGTCCAGACAACATTTAATTAAAGATCTGCGCACCACATAATTGAATAGCTTTAACCAATTAAGATCTGCGCACCACATAATTGAATAGCTTTAACCAATTAAGATCTGCGCACCACATAATTGAATAGCTTTAACCAATTAAGATCTGCGCACCACAAAATTGAATAGCTTTAACCAATTAAGATCTGTGCACCACATAATTGAATAGCTTTAACCAATTAAGATCTGCGCACCACATAATTGAATAGCTTTAACCAATTAAGATCTGCGCACCACATTATTGAATAACTTTAACCAATTAAGATCTGCGCACCACATAATTAAATAGCTTTAACCAATTAAGATCTGCGCACCACATTATTGAATAGCTTTAACCAATTAAGATCTGCGCACCACAAAATTGAATAGCTTTAACCAATTAAGATCTGCGCACCACAAAATTGAATAGCTTTAACCAATTAAGATCTGCGCACCACATTATTGAATAGCTTTAACCAATTAAGATCTGCGCACCACATTATTGAATAGCTTTAACCAATTAAGATCTGCGCACCACATTATTGAATAGCTTTAACCAATTAAGATCTGCACACCACAAAATTGAATAGCTTTAACCAATTAAGATCTGCGCACCACATTATTGAATAGCTTTAACCAATTAAGATCTGCGCACCACAAAATTGAATAGCTTTAACCAATTAAGATCTGCGCACCACATTATTGAATAGCTTTAACCAATTAAGATCTGCGCACCACATTATTGAATAGCTTTAACCAATTAAGATCTGCGCACCACATTATTGAATAGCTTTAACCAATTAAGATCTGCACACCACAAAATTGAATAGCTTTAACCAATTAAGATCTGCGCACCACATTATTGAATAGCTTTAACCAATTAAGATCTGCGCACCACAAAATTGAATAGCTTTAACCAATTAAGATCTGCGCACCACATTATTGAATAGCTTTAACCAATTAAGATCTGCGCACCACATTATTGAATAGCTTTAACCAATTAAGATCTGCGCACCACATTATTGAATAGCTTTAACCAATTAAGATCTGCGCACCACATAATTGAATAGCTTTAACCAATTAAGATCTGCGCACCACATAATTGAATAGCTTTAACCAATTAAGATCTGCGCACCACATAATTGAATAGCTTTAACCAATTAAGATCTGCGCACCACATTATTGAATAGCTTTAACCAATTAAGATCTGCGCACCACATTATTGAATAGCTTTAACCAATTAAGATCTGCGCACCACATAATTGAATAGCTTTAACCAATTTGTTAAAACATGTCTATTTCCCCAGCGGTCTCCAAACGTATGGGTGAGGGTTACATCGGTCTGGGACCCAATCGTATTCCATTTGAAGCGTGGGAGTTCCCCTACAGCAGAGGGGTGGCGAAGCTGACGTACACCAACCAGCCGGACGAGCCACGGGGTCCAGCGGTGGTGAAGTTTATTGATGGTAGGTCTTTTGTCGCATTGTTAGGATTGTTGTAGCGGTCTTCCTACGCTCATGTCCAGAGGTTAAGTCGTGGAAAAATTATGTGGGGAAGCACTCAAATTTTTTTGGCAATTTTCATCGATAAGCCGTATTGGGAAAACAAGTGACGCAATGGTCACATATGAAAAATGGTCCCTGTTATGGGCACAACATGTGAGTAAAGAATTTCAAACATCTTAGATACCGCTGGAGGTGCACACTTTTTGCTGCAAGAGTCACTGAACAATAACGATTATCGATTATAAAGAGCACAGAGTCACTAGATTCAGCTTCTTTTCATCAATAAGATTTTGGGTCTATTCATATATGACGTTCGCACTGCGGAAGGAGAAGGGGGTGGCGTTGGTATGTATCCGAATGGACAAGAACAACCTTGGTCACGTGAGACATTTTGGTCGTAAAAAGACAGCCACTTAAAGCCGAATAAAACACTTTAGAATTTTTATTCTAAACAGTGTGTGTACATTGTTATTCTTCCTATATGCAAATTCTATGTCATGGAAATAGTTTGAAGTAAGTTTGAACGACCTGCCTTTATAATAATTTACATCTTCGTACATATATAAACAAGATCGGAGCCCAGCTTTTCCTTGGCAGGATAAAAAGGAAAAATGTCTTTTTTAATCTCTTTTACACAAGCATACACATGTTCAACTTCTGCAATGTCAGTGAAGTCATCGAAACGGTGCATAAGAAAATTAGTTCAAAACCAATTTGGTGGGGAGGAATGTTGGTCAAACAGAAGCATGTTTAATCCAAGGGGAAAAAAATGGGGAAGGGGGTAACACAAAAATAAAATTTATAAAAATTGTTAACGTTTTTCCCGGTTCTCACCCACACCTTCCCTTCAAAAATTAAGCTGAACAAAATTTCATTTCGAAAAAACTTCCGCTCTAACAAGCTTCCATTCGAACTAGCTTATATTCGAACCAAATTCCTTTGTAAAAATTTGTGTCGAAATCATTTATTTTCGAAATAATTTCCGATAGCGTCCTAATCAAATTTCATTTCCTGTTTCAGAGAAAGGTGTCATCACATACACGTTTTTCTTCAACCCCTCGTTGAACATAACGTCACCAACCATCTTCAACATCCCAGACCCTTGCCCGCCTGAAACAGCTCTGTAAAAATATACAGACACGAACACCATCTTCAATATCCCAGACCCTTGCCCGCCTGAAACAGCTCTATAAAAAGATGCAGAAACAGACGACGCATCCACGAAGGAAACAAGAGATTCCCCGATGATCCATTCATGACAGTCGACAACCGGCTGACACATGTCCATTTCATTTCGTGAAGTGAAATAAAGTTATTCTAATAAAATTGTCGGATGTTTTCTGTTTATTTTTTTTATATACTCATAACAACACTATGTGTACATTGAAAACTGTTATTAAGCATTAAAAAGATGTAACCTCTTCTATGCAAATACTCGGCTATCTACCCCAATAATTTTTTTTCCAGACCAGCAGCTGACAGTTCCCCTGCGAGGCGAGATTTTAAGGCAAGCAACGAGATCCCATTCTTCAGAACAAGGAAATAAAACAAATGCTTGACGCCATCCCAATCAGCCAGTCTTTGGCCCCACAGCAAATCAATTTATTTGGTCATCTGGTCAGAATACCTGCCAATGACCCTGGTCACGGGGCCAGGGGTAGATTAAACACGTCACCGGTGAATCGACTGAGGAGCTGACACTGACCCCCTGCAAGTCCTCAACATGAGCCTTCAGCAGGCCTCACAAGCTGACACCCTGCAAGTCCTCAACATGAGCCTTCAGCAGGCCTCACAGATAGCGTCATACGTCAACTACAACTCCAGGCGACTCTTCCTGGGTAAAAGTGGACAGAAGAAGAAGTGGCAGTTATTGAAAAAAGCCACCCCCACCCGAAGGTTGGGCACGCCCGCAAAGACATACGGCAATGTACAGAATGAAATGCCAGCTGGCAGAACGCTAACGATGATGACCGATTATAAAGAGCTAAGAGGCACTAGATTTAGCGTCTTCATTAGTAAATAATGGCTCCATCCAGATATTACATACACCACTGCGGGCTTTTTTTGTGTTGAGGGGGGGGGGGTGATTTTCAAAAGTATGTACATAAATAATTTACCTGAAATTCAGACACTCTGCAATATCTCGAATAAAACCAACTGTTACGTAAAAATATGTTAAATCTATATTTTATTATTTTTAAAATCTTTTCAACCACCGCAGTGTTTCGTTAACAAAAATTTTATGTAATGTTCTACTGTTATTTTTTGGTTCCACTCGCTAGATATCACAATAGTAATAGTAAGCCTACTGTCAACGTACAGTCTTGTGGTTCCACTCGCTAGATTTCACAACCAGTCTTGTTGTTCCACTCGCTAGATATCACAACAGTAATAGTAAGCCTACTGTCAACGTACAGTCTTGTGGTTCCACTCGCTAGATATCACAACAGTAATGGTAAGCTAACTGTCAACGTATTGTCCACCGTACGTGGTACTGTGCCAGTGACGTCATTTGTGTTGTCATCATTTAGTTGTGTTAAGCCAAATAGTTTTTCTGGCGAACAAAAGTGCGTGTGCGGGTTGAAGGGGGGGGGGCGGGGCGGAATGAACCAAAGATACACATTTAATTCCCTTTCGGCAGTGAGTCCACAACGTTTTTTCTTATCTACTTGTCCACCGTACGTGGTACTGTGCCAGTGACGTCATTTGTGTTGTCATCATTTAGTTGTGTTAAGCCAAATAGTTTTTCTGGCGAACAAAAGTGCGTGTGCGGGTTGAAGGGGGGGGGGAGGGGCGGAATGAACCAAAGATACACATTTAATTCCCTTTCGGCAGTGAGTCCACAACGTTTTTTCTTATCTACGCCACGCTCCTGATCCCACACTAAAATAGTGGGGATTTGGGAGTGGGGGGGGGGGAGATGTTCATGCTGCTGTAATGAAGTTTGAATTTCAATTGTATTGCCGTTTTAGGCCTTCAGATTAACAATTGTAGTATAAAACTTACTATTAAAATATAATTGAAAATCTATTTGTATTACAACATATGAAAACAATAAAAGGTGTTTTGAGACAAATTCATATCATATATTCCAGAGCTTTGGCGTAGCTATGGTCAGTATTCCCCCACCTCCCACCCTGGGAAGAGCCCCTTTTGTGGCTGCACACTGTCACGGAAAACTCTGCAGTACTCTGCAGTTTTCCGAAAGTGCCTCGCCTCCTTTGAAAAAATACATGCTGCCCCGGGCGGACCACTTTTCCACCCCCCCCCCTCCCCGCATTTATCCTCAGTGCATGGGCACGCCGGGCACTTGTCCGGGGCCTTACGCTTCTAGGGGACATCACGCTTTTGGGGGGGGGGGGGCCTCGCGCTGCTGGGGGCATCAAGTTTCCCCTATTCTCAATGATTATTGAAAAATATCCAGGCTATTTATTTTGCCTTTAAAGTGCAGGGGGAAACATATGTCTTAACTTGTGTAGGTCTTACACTACAGTTCTATAAAGTTAACATATGTCTTAATTTGTCTAGGTCTGACAATATAGGTCTATAACGTTAACATATTATATGTCTTAACTTGTGTAAGTCTTACACTACAGATCAATAAAGTTAACATGTCTTAACTTGTCTAGGTCTTACACTATAGGTCTATAACGTTAACATGTCTTATTTTGTGTAGGTCTTACACTACAGTTCTATAAATTTAACATGTGTTTTAACTTGTCTAGGTCTTACACTACAGTTCTATAAAGTTAACATATGTCTTAACTTGTCTAGGTCTTACACTACAGTTCTATAAAGTTAACATATGTCTTAACTTGTCTAGGTCTTACACTATAGGTCTATAAAGTTAACATATGTCTTAACTTGTGTCATCTTACACTACAGTTCTATAAAGTTAACATGTGTCTTAAATTGATATTTAACGTTTTTTGATTTTCAAATCAATTAATTTTGTTGAAGAAGACTGTAGTTTGAAAAAAAAAATTAATTTGGATGGGGAAGCGATTTTAGGGCGTCTCAAAGTGTTCAATTAATTCTAACGAATCTACATTTAGGCGCCACACGTTCATTAATTAGAAATTTATCTCAAGAAAGTTCCAATAGTTTGAAAGTCTTATAAACTTTGTACTTTGCGCGCCTATTAAACACAGGGAATCATGACTTGTGATTATGTATTTTAAAAAAAATTTCTGTGTCTTTCTGCCCCTCCCCCCCCCCTTTTTACAATTAATTTAACTTTATTTATAAACAAAGATCTGACACATTAACACCACCACCCCCCCCCACTCCCGTTCTGTTTGAACGCCCATGGGCTGTATCTATTTTCTACACGCACAGCTTTGGTGGAGTTTACGGACCTTAAGTCACTATGTCTCTTTGCTGTCAGTGGACTGCCAAATAATAGAATGGTGCTTTTAGAATAAACCATGCGTAAGTCCTCCAAGTCAATCGTTTTGATGTCGTGTCTAGGACATCATCTGAATAAATTAAAATTCTTTTAATACCGATCCATTCATGACCGACAAAAAAAAAAAAAAATAAATAAAGACCTTTGAAAAGTCAGCCATTAAAAAAAAAAATACAAAATATTTTTGTGGGTTTTTTTTTGTTTTTTTTTCTCCGGATATATGATCCAACAATAAGAATAACGTCATAGCTCTGACGTTTCATTGTCAGTGAGAAACAAGATGCCTGCGAAAAGTTTGATGGCGAAGTATGGCGAAGTTTGGCGCTGGCGGACAACCACAGCACCGTGACGCCAGTCGGATGTCGGATTGTCGTAAACACACCACGATGGCGCTAAGACAGTTGTTGAAACGTCTCACGAAATTTGACGTAACATACTTCGGAGTTTCTTTATCTACGACCTCATTAGTGGGATCATCTCCGTTGGAAGCAAGGGAGATAAGGATGCCATGGACAGAACGTTGGATTATCTTTCCCGCTGTTAAATGGGTTATTGGTACAGAGAGGGGGACCGAGAGGGGGACAGAGAGGGGGACAGAGAGGGGGACAGAGAGGG